GCTTCTAGTAACAAGTGCCTTACTAGTAGTAACAAGAAGCTACTAGGGGCTCCTGGCCTTACTACTAGGAACTAGAAGCTACTAGGAACAAAGGGCATAAGGAGCAAGGACACTACCAGTAGCTCAGGACGCTACTAGGGGGGCGCTCCCGGCCTTGCTGCTAAGAACAGTTCTTAGCAGCAAGGAGCTACTAGGAACAAAGGCATCGCTACTAGGAGCAAGGACGCTACTAGCAGCTCCCAGCCTTAATACCAGGAACTAGAAGCTACTAGGAACAAAGGGCATCAGGAGCAAGAACCCTACTAGTAGCTCAGGCCGCTACTCGGGGCTCTCCCGGCCTTACTGCTAGGAACAAAAGGCTACTACGAACAAAGGGCGTCGCTACTAGGAGCAAGGATGCACTAGGAGCACTCCTGGCCTTGCTACTAGGAACAAGACCCTACTGGGGCATCGCTACTAGGAGCAAGGACGCTACTAGGGGCGCTCCCGGCCTTTCTACTAGGAACAAGAAGCAACGCCTTTTCTTCCTTTCTTGTTTCTTTGTTTCTGCTTGCGATGGCCTCCAACCTGTTCTCTAAGAGTCTGTCAGAGTAAAAGGAGCAGTGTGCGCAGATTTTGCTGGAGGCTCTGAGAGAGCTACTAGTAGTAAGGCACCTTGCTACTAGTAGCATCTTTGGAGTCTGAAGCTGATTCGATTCTCTCAAGGTTCACAAACGAGAAAGAATTGTGGACGGTGTTTTGTAGTGGATCATGAATCCTGCAATGGTCAATAAATCAAATGTTAACCGTTCACAATACCGAAGATGAACACATCCATTATGACCCGCGCACGAATTGAATTACCGTTCAGCAGATCCTCATGGAAAGAGCAGGCAGAAACCTCATGTATCAACCACTCTGAGTGGAAAATCCTTTGGTTGGCCACAACTTTGTAGCGCGCTACAGGACTTGATAAGGTTTGTGTCAAAATACTTGCAAAAATCCACACAAGTCTTCCTTTCCCAGAGTTGAGGCAACAAATAAATTCGTTCTAAACACTTCATCAGCCCCATCTGATAGCTCCCTTTTTGACCGAACAAACACAATGACACACAACCATAAACAAGACCTACTTGTTTCAACTTTTTAGGCCGCCTCCCATCTCTACTAGGTTGGAGGCCATCGCTCCTAGGTTAGACGCCATCGCAATTAGGTTGGAGGCCATCGCTCCTAGGTTGGAAGACATTGCCATTAGGTTGGAGGCCATCGCTCCTAGGTTGGAAGACATTGCCATTAGGTTGGAGGCCATCGCTCCTAGGTTGGAAGACATTGCCATTAGGTTGGAGGCCATCGCTCCTAGGTTGGAAGACATTACTACTAGTAACAAGTTTTCTATTTTTTTGCGACCGCTGTCTGAGAGAACGACGTGCGCCATGACCGCTCTCCGATCACATGGATGTGGCCTTCGTGGCTCGGCGCTGGCGCACGGCGAAGCCACGCCAGGTCGCCTGGATCCTCGGTGTAGCGAAGAAACAAAGGGAAATTTGGCTACTTTCTAGACTTTTAATTCTAATTTTACTTATGTATTGTTTCTAACAGCTTCTTGCTCCTAGTCGTAATGCCAGGAGCAGCAGTAGCGTCCTTGCTCCTAGTAGTAAGGCCAGGAGCCCCTAGTAGCGTTCTTGCTCCTAGTAGCGATGCCGTTTGCTCCTAGTAGCGTTCTTGGTTTGTAAAAAAGACTTGTAAAAAGAACATGAAGAAACAAAAGCAACCTAATAGCGATGGCCTCCAACCTACTAGCAATGGCCTCCTTACCTTGCCAAGTGACTTGGTTGCAGCCTTCGTCTCCAATTCGAGGTGGTAACGATTCTCAAGCTTGTGCCTCCGAGAACGACACACACACACACACACACCAAACATGCTGCGGTCTTTTGCCCGCTTCCCCTCACACCCGCCTGTGCTGATTTCTGATTTACCCTCTATCCTTCACCTCTCGACTTAGCTTCTCTCAGCCTGAGCCTTCTTCAACCTCCCCTGGACGCGCTTCATGCAGAGTTTCCTCTCTTCAAGTCTCTCCTGTTGTAGTCTCTCCAAAAGTGCTGGATCTTCTCTGCAGCACTCCTCGAAGGAGAGAGTGAATCAACATCACTGCCGAGTGAATAAAAACAACACCTGCGTTGGAGTAGGATCAAGTCAAAGAGAGCTCTGAAATCAGGGGGGGAAAGACAGGGAATAAACCACTTAAGACTTAAGGATGTCATTTCTTAGATGGCAGATCGACTGCATGGAAAACAAACCTAAATCAACG